ATCACCACCACCATCACCACCATCACCACCACCACCACCATCACTACCATCACAACCACCACCACCACCACCATCACCACTACCACCATCACTATCACCATCACCACCACCATCACCACCAATACCACCACCACCACCACCACCATCACAACCATCTCCACCAACACCACCACCATCTCCATCACCACCACCATCACCACCACCACCATCACCTTCAGCACCACCATCATCACCATCATCTTCAGCACCACCACCATCACCATCATCTTCACCACCACCACCACCTTCACCACCACAACCATCACCACCACCAGCACCACAACATCACCATCACCACCACCACCATCACCACCATCCCTACCATCACCACCATCCCCACCATGACCACCGCCTCCACCATCACCAGCACCACCACCACCACCATCATCACCAGAACCTCCATCATCACCACCACCACCATCACCACCACCACCACCACCATCATCACCACCACCACCACCCCACCGCCACCACCACCACCACCACCACTACCATCACCACCACCACCACCATCACCATCACAACCATTACCACCATCACCACAACAACCACCACCAATACCATCATCACCACCACCATCACCACCACCACCATCACAACCATCACCACCACCATCACCACCATTACCACCATCACCACCACCACCATCACCACCCACCACCATCACCACCATCACCTTCAGCACCACCACTATCACCATCATCTTCAGCACCACCATCACCAACTTGACCACCACCACCACCACAACCATTACCACCACCACCATTATCACCACCACCACCACCATCACCACCATCACCCCAGCACCCCCACCACCATCACCATCACCATCACCACTACCCCCACCATCACCACAATCATCACCACCATCACCACCACCATTACCACCACCACCACTATCACCACCACCACCACCATCACCACCACCACTAACACCACCACCATCATCATCACCACCATCACCATCATCATTACCACCACCACCATCACCACCACGACCATCACCATCACCACCACCACCATCACCACCACCATCGCAACCACCACCACAACCATCACCACCACCATCACAACCATCACCACCACCACCACCATCACAACCACCACCACCATCACCACTATCACCATCACCACCATCATCACCACCACCACCATCACCTCCACTACCACCACCACCATCACCACTATCACCACCACCACCATCACCATCACCACTATCACCACTATCATCACTATCACCACTAACACCACCACCACCGTCACCACTATCACCCCTATCACCACCACCACCACCATCACTATTACCACTATCACCACCACCACCACCATCACAAACCATCACCAACACCATCACCACCATCACCACCACCACCATCACCACCACCACCACCACCATCACCACCATCACCACCATCACCACAACCACCCTCACCATCCTCACAACCACCACCACCACTAGCACCACCATCACCACCACCACCACAACCACCCTCACCATCCTCACAACCACCACCACCACTACCACCACTATCATCACCACCACCATCACCATCACCACTATCACCACTATCATCACTATCACCACTAACACCACCACCACCATCACCACTATCACCACTATCACCACCATCACCACCATCACAACCACAACCATCACAAACATCACCACCATCACAACCATCACCACCACCATCACCACCACCACCATCACCATCACCACCACCACCATCACTTTCAGCACCACCACCAACACCATCATCTTCAGCACCGCCACCATCACCATCATCTTCACCACCAGCACCTTTACCACCTCCACCACCACAACCATCACCATCACCACCACCAGCACCACAACCATCACCATCACCACCACCACCATCATCCCTACCCACCACCAAAGTCACCACCACCACCATCACCACCATCACCACTACACCATCACCACCACCATCACCATCACCATCACCACCACCACCATCACCACCACCGCCATCACGACCATCACCATCACTACCACCACCACCACAACCATCACCACCATCATCACCATCACCACCACCATCACCATCACCATCACCGTCACCACCATCACCACCGCCATCACCGTCACCATCACCAACACCATCACCACCACCACCATCACCACCACCACCACCACCATCACCACCACCACCTCCACCATCACCACCACCATCACCACCACTATCACCACCATCACCACCATCAATACCAGCACCATCACCATCATTACTACCATCACCACCATAACCACCACGACCATCACCACCACCACCATCACCACTATCACCACCACCACCATCACAGCCATCACCACCATCACCATCACTACCATCACCACCATCATCACCATCACCACCACCACCACAATCACCATCACCGCCACCACCATCACCACCACCATCACCATCACCACCATCACCACCATCACAACAACCACCACCACCATCACCACCACCATCACCACTACCACCCTCACCACCATCACTACCACCATCACCACCACCACCATCACCACCACCTTCACCACTACCACCACCACCTCCACCATCACCACCACCTTACCACCACCACCTCCACCACCACCACCATTACCACCACCACCATTATCACCACCACCACCACCATCACCACCATCACCCCAGCACCCCCACCACCACCACCATCACCATCATCACCACTACCCCCACCATCACCACAATCATCACCACCATCACCACCACCATTACCACCACCACCACTATCACCACCACCACCACCATCACCACCACCACCACCACCACCACCACCATCACCACCATCACCATCATTACCACCACCACCATCACCACCACGACCATCACCATCACCACCACACCATCACCACCACCATCGCAACCCCCACCACAACACCACCATCACCACCATCCCCACCATCACCACCATCACCACCACCACCACCATCATCACCAGCACCTCCATCATCATCACCACCACCACCACCACCACCACCACCACCACCACCATCACCACTATCACCATCACCACCACCATCACCACCACCGTCACCACCACCACCACCACCACCACCACCACCATCACCACCACCACCTCCACCACCACCACCATCACCACCACCATCACCCTCACCATCCTCACCACCACCATCACCACTATCACCACCACCACCACCATCACAACCATCACCACCATCACCACCACCGTAACCAACTCCACCACCACCAGCATCACCACCATCACCAATACCATCACCACCTTCACCATCACCATCACCACCATCACCACCACCACCACCACGTTCACCACCATCACCACCACCATCTCCACCACCATCTCCACCACCATCTCCACCACCACCATCACTATCCCCACCACCATCACCACCACCACCATCACCACCATCACCACCACCACCACCACCACCATCACCACCATCACCACCACCACCACCACCACCATCACCACCATCACCATCACCACCACCATCACCAACTTCACCACCATCACCACCAACACCATCCCCATCACCACCATCACCACCACCATCTCCACCACCATCACCACTACCATCATTACCTTCACCATCACCATCACCACCATCACCACCACCACCACCAAATTCACCACCACCATCACCACTATCTCCACCACCACCACCATCACTATCACCACCACCAACACCATCACCACCACCACCACCACCACCACCACCACCACCACCACCACCACCATCACCACCACCACCACCACCACCACCATCACCACTACCACCACCATCACCACCACCATCACCATCAATACCACCCGCACCATCACCACCGCCATCACGACCATCACCATCACTACCACCACCACCACCACCGTCACCACCATCTTCACCATCACCACTACCATCACCATCACCGTCACCACCATCACCACCGCCATCACCGTCACCATCACCAACACCATCACCACCTCCACCAGCACCATCACCACCACCACCACCATCACCATCACCACCACCACCACCACCACCACCACCATCACCACCACCACCTCCACCACCATCACCACCACCATCACCACCATCACCAATACCAGCACCATCACCATCATTACTACCACCATCACCACCATCACCACCACCACCATAACCACCACCACCATCACCACCACCACCATCACCACTATCACCACCACCACCATCACAGCCATTACCACCATCACCATCACTACCATCACCACCATCACCATCACCACCACCACCATCACCATCACCGCCACCACCATCACCACCACCATCACCATCACCACCAGTATCACCACCATCACAACAACCACCACCACCATCACCATCACCACTACCACCATCACCACGACCACCATCACCACCACCATCACCACCACCACCATCACCACCACCATCACCACTAACACCACCTCCACCACCACCATCATCACCACCATCACCATCACCACCATCACCACCACCTTACCACCACCACCTCCACCACACCACCACCATTACCACCACTACCATTATCACCACCACCACCACCATCACCACAATCACCCCAGCACCCACACCACCACCATCATCACCATCACCATCACCACTACCCCCACCATCACCACAATTATCACCACCATCACCACCACCATTACCACCACCACCACTATCACCACCACCAACACCATGACCACCACCACTAACACCACCACCATCATCATCACCATCACCATCATCATTACCAAAACCACCCTCACCACCACGACCATCACCATCACCACCACCACCACCACCACCATCACAACCATCACCACCACCATCACAACCACCACCACCACCACCATCACCACCACCATCATCATCACCACTATCACCACCACCTTCACCTCCACGACAACCACCACCACCATCACCACTATCACCACTATCACCATCACCACCATCATCACCACCACCACCATCACCACCACCACCACCATCACCACCATCACCACCACCACCACCACTATCACCACTAACACCACCACCATCACCACTATCACCACCACCATCACTATTACCACTATCACCACCACCACCACCATCACCACCACCACCATCACCAACACCATCACCACCATCACCACCACCATCATCACCACCACCACCACCACCACCACCATCACCACCATCACCACCACCACCACAACCACCCTCACCATCCTCACAACCACCACCACCACTACCACCACCACCATCACCACCACCACCATCACCACCACCATCACCACCATCACAACCAGCACCACCATCACAAACATCACCACCACCATCACCACCATCACAACCACCACCATCACAAACATCACCACCACCATCACAATCACCACCACCACCATCACCACCATCACCACCACCATCACCACCACCACCACCATCACCAACATCACCATCACCACCATCACCACCACCACCATCACCTTCATCACCACCACCAACACCATCATCTTCAGCACCGCCACCATCACCATCATCTTCACAACCACCACCTTCACCACTTCCACCACCACAACCATCACCATCACCACCACCAGCACCACAACCATCACCATCACCACCACCACCATCATCCCTACCATCACCACCATCCCCACCACCATCACCAGCACCACAACCAACATAACCAGCACCTCCATCATCACCACCACCACCATCACCACCACCACCACCACCATCACCACCACCACCATCACCATCACCACCACCACCACCACCATCACCACCATCACAACCACCACCACCATCACCACCACCATCACCATCACCACTATCACCACTATCACTATCACCACCATCACCACCATCACCACCACCACCACAACCATTACCACCACCACCATCACCACCACCACCACCATCACCACCATCACCACCACCATCTCCACCACCATCTCCACCACCACCATCACTATCCCCACCACCACCATCACCACCATCACCACTACCACCACCATCACCACCATCACCACCACCACCACCAATACCACCACCACCACCATCACCACCACCACCATCACCACCACCACCACCACCATCACCACCACCATCACCACCACCACCATCACCACCACCATCACCACCACCACCATCACCATGACCATCACCACCACCACCATCACCATGACCATCACCACCATCACCACCACCACCACCACCAATACCATCGCCACCACCATCACCACTACCACCACCACCTCCACCACCACCATCATCCCCACCACCACCATCACCACCACCTTACCACCATCACCTCCACCACCAACACCATTACCACCACACCACCATTATCACCACCACCATCACCACCATCACCACCAGCACCCCCACCACCACCATCATCATTATCACCATCACCATTACCACCACTACCCCCATCACCACAATCATCACCACCATCACCACCACCATTACCACCACCACCACTATCACCACCACCACCACCATCACCACCATCACTATCACCATCACCACCATCACCACCACCATCACCATTACCACCACCACCATCACCACCACCACCACCTCCATCACCACCACCACCACCATCAGCACCATCACCACTATCACCACCACCACCATCACCAGCATCACTATCACCATCACCACCAGAACCATTACCACCACCACAATCACCACCATCCCCACCACCATCACCACCACAACCATTACCACCACCACCATCACCACCACCATCACCATCACCACCACCAGCACCACCACCACTATCACCTTCAGCACCAACACCATCACCATCATCTTCAGCACCACCACCATCACCATCATCTTCACCACCACCACCATCACCACCACCACCACCTCCATCACCACCACCACCACCATCAGCACCATCACCACTATCACCACCACCACCATCACCAGCATCACTATCACCATCACCACCAGAACCATTACCACCACCACAATCACCACCATCCCCACCACCATCACCACCACAACCATTACCACCACCACCATCACCACCACCATCACCATCACCACCACCAGCACCACCACCACTATCACCTTCAGCACCAACACCATCACCATCATCTTCAGCACCACCACCATCACCATCATCTTCACCACCACCACCATCACCACCTTCACCACCACCACAACCATCACCATCACCACCACCAGCACCACAACCATCACCACCACCGTCACCACCACCATCACCACCATCCCCATCACCACTATCCCCACCATCACCACCACCACCAACATCACCAGCACCACCACCATCATCACCAGCACCTCCATCATCACCACCACCACCACCCCCACCATCACCACCACCACCACTACCATCACCAGCACCACCCTCACCACCATCACCACCACCGTCACCACCAATATCACTACCACCACCACCATCACCACCACCATCACCACCACCACCACCACCGTCACCATCACCACCACCACCGCCACCATCAACACCACCACCTCCACCACCATCACCCTCACCATCCTCACCACCACCACTATCACCACCACCACCACAACCATCACCACCATCACACCACAATCACCAACTCCACCACCACCACCACCACCATCACGATCATCACCATCACCATCCCCATCACCACCATCACCACCACCACATCCACCACCATCACCAATACCATCACCACCTTCACCATCACCATCACCACCATCTCCAAAACCACCATCACTATCCCCCCACCACCATCACCACCACCATCATCACCATCACCATTACCACCATCACCACCACCACCATCACCTTCAGCACCACAACCAACACCATCATCTTCAGCACCGCCACCATCACCATCATGTTCATCACCACCACCATCACCACCTTCACCTCCACCACAACCACCATCATCCCTACCATCACCACCATCCCCACCACCATCACCAGCACCACCACCAACATCATCAGCAGCACCTCCATCAACACCACCACCACAATCACCACTACCACCACCACCACCACCACCATCATCACCACCACCACCACCACCACCACCATCACCACCCCCACCATCACCATTACCCCCACCATCACCACAATCATCACCACCATCACCAGCACCATTACCACCACCACCACTATCACCACCACCACTAACACCACCACCATCATCATCACCACCATCACCATCATCATACCACCACCACCATCACCACCACGACCATCACCATCACCACCACCACCATCACCACCACCATCGCAACCATCACCACCACCATCACAACCATCACCACCACCATCACAACCACCACCACCACCACCACCACTATCACCACCACCATCATCATCACCACTACCACCACCACCTTCACCTCCACGACAACCACCACCACCATCACCACTATCACCACTATCACCATCACCACCATCATCACCACCACCACCATCACCTCCACCACCACCACCACCACCACCACCATCACCATCACCATCACCACCATCACCACTACCCACCACTATCACCATCCACACCATCACTATCACCATCACCACTACAACCATTACCACCACAACAATCACCACCATCACCACCACCATCACCACCACAACCATTACCACGACCACCATCACCACCACCACCACCAACACCATCACCATCACCTTCAGCACAACCACCATCACCATCATCTTCGGCACCACCACCATCACCCCATCATCTTCACCACCACCACCATCACCACCTTCACCACCACCACAACCATCACCATCACCACCACCACAACCATCACCATCACCATCACCACCATGACCACCACCACCACCAACATCACCAGCACCACCACCATCATCACCAGCACCTCCATCATCATCACCATCACCACCACCACCATCACCACCACCACCACCATCACCACCACCACCATCATCACCGGCACCACCACCATCACCACCACCACCATGACCACCACCATCACAACCACCGTCACCATCACCACCACCACCTCCACCACCACCATCACCTCCACCACCTGCACCACCACCACCACCATCACCTCCACCACCTCCACCACCACCACCATCACCCTCACCATCCTCACCACCACCACCACTATCACCACAACCACCACCACCATCACAACCATCACCACCACCATCTCCACGACCACCACCACCACCATCACCATCACCATCCCCATCACCACCATCACCACCACGAACATCCACCACCTTCACCAATACCATCACCACCTTCACCATCACCACCATCACCACCACCACCACCACCATCACCACCTTCACCACCACCATCACCATCTCCACCACCATCTCCACTATCACCATCACTATCCCCACCACCACCATCACCATCACCACTACCACCACCATCACCACCACCATCCCCACATCACCACCATCACCACCACCACCACCAACATCACCAGCACCACCACCATGATCACCAGCACCTCCATCATCATCACCACCACCACCACCACCACCATCACCACCACCACCATCACCACCACCACCAACTCCACCACCACCACCATCACCATCACCACCACAACATCCACCACCATCACCAATACCATCACCACCAACACCATCACCACCATCACCACCATCAGCATCACCACCACCATCACCACCTTCACCACCACCATCACCACCACCATCACCACCACCATCACCACCACCATCACCACCATCACCACCACCATCACCATCACCACAACCACATCCACCACCATCACCAATACCATCACCACCATCACCATCACCACCATCACCACCATCACCACCACCACCACCATCACCACCACCATCTCCACCATCACCACCACCATCACCACCACCACCACCACCATCACCACCACCACCATCACCATCAACACCACCATCACCACCACCATCGACACCACCACCATCGCAACCACCATCACCATCACCAACATTACCACCACCATCACCATCACCACCACCGCCATCACTACCATCACCACCACCATCACCACCACCATAACCACCACCATCACCACCATCCCCACCATCACCACCATCACCACCACCACCACCATCATCACCAGCACCTCCATCATCATCACCACCACCACCACCACCATCACCACCACCACCACCACCACCATCACCACCACCGTCACCATCACCACCACCACCATCACCACCACCATCACCACCACCACCGCCACCTCCACCACCACCACCACCACCACCTCCACCACCACCACCATCACGCTCACCATCCTCACCACCACCATCACCACTATCACCACCACCACCATCACCACCACCATAACCAACTCCACCACCACCAGCATCACCACCATCACCATCACCATCATCACCATCACCATCCCCATCACCATCACCATCACCACCACCACCTCCACCACCATCACCAATACCATCACCACCTTCACCATCACCATCACCACCATCACCACCACCACCACCACGTTCACCACCACCTTCACCACCACCATCACCACCATCTCCACCACCACCATCACTATCCCCACCACCACCACCATCACCACTACCACCATCACCACCACCACCATCACCACCATCACCACCACCACCACCACCACCACCACCACCACCATCACCACCACCACCACCACCACCACCACCAAGACCACCACCAGCACCACCACCACCACCACCATCACCACCATCACCACCACCACCACCACCACCACCACCACCACCACCACCATCACCACCACCACCATCACCACCACCACCATCACCACCACCACCATCACCATGACCATCACCACCACCACCACCACCACCACCACCATCATCACCAATACCATCGCCACCACCATCACCACTACCACCACCACCTCCACCACCACCATCATCACCACCACCATCACCACCATCACCACCACCTTACCACCACCACCTCCACCCCCACCACCATTATTACCAGCACCCTCACCACCACCTCATCATCATCACCATCACCATTATCACCACTACCCCCACCATCACCACAATCATCACCACCATCACCACCACCATTACCACCACCACCACTATCACCACCACCACCACAATCACCACCACCACTAACACCACCACCATCATCACCATCACCACCATCATCATTACCACCACCACCACCACCACGACCATCACCATCCCCACCACCACCACCATCGCAACCACCACCACCACAACCATCACCACCACCATCACAACCATCACCACCACCACCACCACCATCATCACCACTATCACCACCACCTTCACCTCCACGACCACCACCACCACCGTCACCACTATCACCACAATCACCATCACCATCATTACCACCACCACCATCACCTCCACCACCACCACCACCACCACCATCACCACTATCACCACCACCACTATCACCACCACCACCATCAACATCACCACTATCACCACTATAATCACTATCACCACCATCACCACCACCACAATCACCACTATCACCACTATCACGAATACACCACTATCACCACCACCACCACCATCACTATTACCACTATCACCACCACCACCATCACCACCACCATCACCACTATCACCACTATCACCACCACCACCACCATCACCACCACCACCATTACCACCACCATCACCACCACCACCATCACCACCACCACCACCACCCTCACCATCCTCACAACCACCACCACCACTACCACCATCATCATCACCACCACCACCATCACCACCACCATCACCACCACCACCATCACAAACATCACCACCACCATCACCACCATCACCACCATCACCACCATCACAACCACCACCATTACAAACATCACCACCACCATCACAACCATCACCACCATTACCACCACCATTACCACCACCATCACCATCACCACCATCACCTTCAGCACCACCATCACCATCATCTTCAGCACCGCCACCATCACCATCACCACCACCAGCACCACAACCATCACCATCACCACCACCACCATTATCCCTACCATCACCACCATCCCCACCACTATCACCAGCACCTCCATCATCACCACCACCACCATCACCACAACCATCACCATCACCACCACCACCATCATCCCTACCATCACCACCATCCCCACCACCATCACCAGCACCACCACCAATATCATCACCAGCACCTCCATCATCACCACCACCACAACCACCACCACCATCACCACCACCACCATCACCACCACCACCACCACCACCACCACCACCATCACCACTATCACCATCACCACCATCACTATCACCATCACCACCATCACCACCATCACCATTACCACCACCACCACCACCACCACCATCACCACCATCACTATCACCATCACCACCACAACCATTACCACCACCACAATCACCACCATCCCCACCACCATCACCACCACAACCATTACCACCACCACCATCACCATCACCACCACCAGCACCACCACCACCAACACCACAACCATCACCATCACCACCACCAGTACCACAACCATCACCACCACCATCACCACCATCCCCACCATCACCACCATCCCACCATCAACACCATTACCACCACCACCACCAACATCACCAGCACCACCACCATCATCACCAGCACCTCCATCATCACCACCACCAGCACCCCCACCATCACCACCACCACCACCATCACCAGCACAACCCTCACCACCATCACCACCACCGTCACCACCACCATCACTACCACCACCATCACCATCACCACCACCACCACCGTCACCATCACCACCACCACCTCCACCATCAACACCACCACCTCCACCACCATCACCCTCACAACCATCACCACCATCAGCACCACAATCACCAACTCCACCACCACCACCATCACCATCACGATCATCACCATCACCATCCCCATCACCACCACCATCACCACCACCACCACCACTTTCACCACCATCACCACCACCATCTCCACCACCATCTCCACCACCACCATCACTATCCCCCACCACCATCACCACCACCACCACCATCATCACCACCATCACCATCACCACCATCACCACCACCACCATCACCTTCAGCACCACCACCAACA